TTGATTACTATAGCTTTGTAGTATAGTCTGATGTCCGGGAGCCTGTTTCCTCCAGCTCCGTTTTTCTTTCTCAAGATTGCCTTTGCTGTTTGGGGTCTTTTGTGTTTCCATACAAATTATGAAAGTTTTTGTTCTAGTTCTGTGAAAAATGCCATTGGTGGTTTGATAGGGATTGCACTGAATCTGTAGATTGCTTTGTGTAGTGTAGTCATTTTCACAATGTTGATTCTTGCAATCCAAGAACATGGTATATCTCTCCTTCCGTTTGTATCATCTTTCATTCCTTTCTTCAATGTCTTGTAGTTTTCTGCATACAGATCTTTTGTCTCCTTAGATAGGTTTATTCCTAGGTTTTATTCTTTTTGTTGCAGTGGTAAATGGGAGTGTTTCCTTAATTTCTCTTTCAGATATTTCATCATTAGTGTATAGGAATGCCAGAGATTTCTGTGCATTAATTTTGTATCCTGTTACTTTACCAAATTCATTGATTAACTCTAGTAGTTTTCTGGTAGCATCTTTAGTATTCCCTATGTATAGTATCATGTCATTTGCAAACAGTGACAGCTTTACTTCTTCTTTTCCAATTTGGTTTCCTTTTATTTGTTTTTCTTCTCTGATGGCTGTGGCTAAAACTTCCAAAACTATGTTGAACAATAGTGTTGAGAGTGGACAACCTTGTGTGTGATTCATCTTTACTGTTTTTTCTCTGAATTGTTTTTCAGGTAGATTGCCTACTTCCTCTTCATTTATTTGGTCTTGTAGGTTTTTACCTTGCTCCTTCATCTGTCACATATTTTTTGGCCGTCTCTCTCTTTTTTTTTTTTTTGAGTGGCATTGTGTTTCTGTCTTACTGGTTGTTTGGCCTGAGGCTTCCAACACTGGAGTTTGTACGCTTTTGGGTAGAGCTGGGTTTGGTGCTGAGATGAGGACCTCAGTGAGACCTCACTGTGATGAATATTCCCTGGGGTCTGAGGTTTTCTGTTAGTCCAGTGGTTTGGACTCGGAGCACCCACCACAGGAGCTTGGGCCCGACCCCTGGCTCATGAACCAAGATCCCGCAAGCCACGTGGTGTGGCAAAAAAACAAAAAAACAGAGAGAACAATAACCAAGTTTAAAAAAATTAGACTAGGAAACTAACAGATGTATTAGAAAGTATATAAAAATAAAAATGTAGATGAATCAACAACCAGAAAGTACAACAGTACCACAATAGTAAAAAAAAAAGAGGAGGAGGGAAGAGATAAAAAAAGGGGCAGGTGGGGAAGGCCTTGGCTCTGGAGGGCAGGACCTAAGCAAGGGCAAGTTTTGGTCAGTGGGCAGGGCCTATGCTTAGGACCCACAGGGCTGGAAAAGGCCCTGTGGGCTGTGGGAGGTGGAGCATAGGCTCAACGGAACAGAAGGGGCCCAGGTATGCTCCCCACCGCTGGTCTCAGAGGGTGGGGGAACTCACCTGGGAGCCCAGCAGGATTTCTAGGCTCGAGTGGGTGGGGCAAGCACCCTCCTCTCCTCTCCTGTTCCTCTGGTTTCAGAGGGGCCCTCCTGCCTGCCTCTCCTTTTATCCCCTCAGCCTCCTTCCTATGCCCCCGGGACCAATGCGGCCATGGGGAGTTGGGGCCCTTGGAGGGCAGGGGACCAGCTTGGGAGCTCAGCAGTCTCCCCGTGCCCAAGTCAGTGGGGCAAATGCCCTCAGCTCTTCCTCCACTCCTCCCTGAGGGCCCCTCCCAGGTGCCTTTCCTGATCTCCCCAGCCTCAGGGGCACTGATCCTGTCTGGCCTCCACTTTTCCTCCCCCCTCAGTCCCCCCACGTCCTACCAGTTCACTTGGGAGTTCCTCCCATCTCCTTGGGCGTTAGGGTCCTCCACCAGCAGCCTGCAGGGAACCTAATTATGGGGAGACGTTAACTTGGCGTCTTCCCACACTGCCATCTTGACTCCACCCTGCCCTCTTAGTTTTAAATATTACTATGTGCTTGTTATGTGTTATGTACAGAGCTAGGTGCTGGGATAGTGAACAAGCTAGGCAGATAGTCTTTGCTTTTTATGGAGCTTACATCCCAGTGGGGCACAGAGAATTTAAAGAGGCAATTATAGTACAATATAGTAAGCGCTATAATAGGATAAGTACAAGGAGTACATAGGGCAGGCACTTAACTCACATTGGGGATGTCATGATGACTTATCACAGGAAATAATACTCAGACTGAGATCAAAAAGCTGAGCTGGATTTAGTCAGGGGAAGGGGTAGAGAAGAAAGATGCTTTAGGCACAAGGGAACAACAGGTTCAAAGGTGTTTATAGGTGGAAAAGAATGCAGTATATTGGAGGAACAAAAGTTGTACGGCAACAAAAGTTGGGTGGTAGAGAGGAAAGGGGCATAGGAAAGAATTATGCTAGATCTGTAGGCAAGGATGTGCTTCTTACTCAAGGATTTGTAGACTGGATCCTAAAAGCATTTGGGTGCCATTTTAGGATTTTTAAGCAAAGTAGTGACATAACCACATTTGCATTTTATTTATTCAACAATGTACTGGATATCTAGTATGTGCCAGGCCTTATGCTAGACACTGGAAATACAATCACTGGTGAATAAGGAAGACCCTGCTCCTGACTAACCGCCAGGCAAATTGGCAAATAGGTTGAAAATAGTGTGGAAGCAGGGGAGACTGCTTATGAATCTGTCAGATGAATGCAGGCGAGAAATGTTGGTTGCCTAAAACTGTCAGTGGTGTAGAGAAGATGAGTGGCATTTATGGAGATTTAGGGAGACAGGAAGAGGGAGGAGTCAAGAGTGATATGGAGGTTTCTGCATTGTTCCTATCTACTGACCCTCATCTCTTTGTATTACTAAATGTAAAGTACGTGAGGACAGAGATTTTATTTTATTTTGTTTTATTCTTTTGTATTCTATTCTACTTCATTTTATTTATTGTTTTGGCTGCGCGATGTGGCATATGAGATCTTCCCCGATGAGGGATCGAACCCGTGCCCCCTCACTGTACCTCCAGGGAAGTCCCAAGGACAGAGATTTTAACATGTTTTGTTCCCTGCTGTATCTCTATTACCTTGAACTTAGTAGGTTCTCATTAAATATTTACAATTGAATAAATATCTAACTTTATTTTGGTTTAATATGAATGATTTGGGGTTGTCACTTCTCACCTTTTTTATGGATAAATTTCTTTGAGCATTAAATAACCCTTAAGTTCATCAGTAAGTGCTCTCAAGTTTCAATCCTAAATTTCTAAGTTTTATTAAGTTTAGAAATAATTACCATTAAAATGGAAGAATTTTTAAGAGTTATATTTAATTATACATCACGTCTCTTTACAAATGATGTAGTGAGTGGTATAAAATATATAGCTTTTAAACTATCTTGCATATAAGAAGAAATACTGAGATACCTAGAGATTATCAATTTTTTTTTTTCACTTGTGAGTGGGAAAAGGTGATTTGTTTAGGTACATGGAATGCAGATTTTAGTAGAAAAAAAACAATTAGCCAGAAATAATCAGTCAGTGAAACTGTCTGGTGTCCCCCTTTGGATGTCCCCCTTTGGATGAGGAATTTCTTGAGAATTCAGTGTATGGTTCTTGATTGTGAGAACGTGGTTGCTTTGCTGTAGGTACAAGTTATATGATTAATTTCAATGGGAGCTATATGTTGTGAAAGAGATTGAAAACTCTAAGTAAATGTTAAATTGTTGTGTTCTCCTATTGCCTTCCCTATGACTTTATATCACTCTGTGCCTCAGTCATTACATTTCAACCATCCTGGCTTTTTCTGATTTTTAAACATTCCATATTTTCCCACCTCAGAGTCTTGTGCTTGCTGTCCTTTTACTTAGAATGTTCTTCCCCCAGATCTTTGAATGGTTGGCTCCTTTTCACTCATGTCTTGGTTCAAATATTAGCTTTTCTAGACACCTTCCCTGCCCTTCCAAATCACTTTTGACTCTATCCTGCTCTCATTTTCTCATGGCACTTATTACTATTTTATATTATTCTATTGATTTCTTTATTTGTTTGTTTTTATAAATATTGACTCTTTCTTCACTAGAATATTAGGTACATAAGAACAGGAGATAACTGTCTTAATCCTACCATATACTTAGTACTTAGAATGGCTCAAATATTTGTTGAATAAATAAATCTGTTTTCTTAATAAAAAACAATACATTTTGAATATAAAATGTAATGTTACATAGAAAACATAATTTTCAAGACATTAAAACTTTATTAAATTTGTGAATTAATGTAGTATGTAATATATTAATACTAAAACATGGCTATTACAAAAGATAGTATTTTTACTATCATTTCAATCCTATGGAAAAGGAAATTGGGAGAAATGAGAAAAGTTGATGTATTAGTAAGTTAATGGACTTTTTTAGACTTCAGAATTAAAAAAAATTTCTCTAAGTGTTATAGTACTTACATACTAAAATTAACAGTTGTGAAAATTTTCATGTGAGCACTTACAGAGCTAAATAATTTTTAAATTTACCTAAATTTATGAATTCGCTTTAACTTTTAACAAGTCATTAAATCATTAATTTACAACTACTATGCTAGTAGGATAAGAATTAAAGTTTTATTAGGTTGTTGTACCTTGTGTAAGCACATAAAACTGCTAACAAATATCTATTTCATTTCTATCATGGACTACAGAGGTAAGTAATTTCTAACCAGGCGAGCTGATTAATTATTAAGAGTAATGTATATACTTTTCAATTCTTAGCATAAGGGAAAATTGTATCAAATACATAACTCAGACTTCTTTGCCCCCTATATATGCTTTTGTGGTGCTTTTGTAGTTTTTCTTGCTTGCTTTTGGTTTGTAAACCTTTTGAGGGCAGGGGCCTGTTTACCTGTATATAACCAGTACATGGCAGTGGGCTCTCAGGTCTGTGGTTGTTGAGTGAATAAATAAAAACATGCATTCTTTGTTTATTTTTTTTTAAAAAAGAGTAATGTATAATAGCTTCCTCTTTTTGTCCCCAGGTTTCCTTTACCCAGTCATCCTGCTGCACCTCCTGAACATCTTAAAGAACCTTTGGTATACATGAGGAAAGCACAGGTTGGCTACTGTTCATTTTAATTTTATTTTTCCATACCAAGTTATATAATGCAGAGTGAGAGATCCTTATTAATATTATGACTGTATTTATTATATGAAAGACTGGGTAAAGACCATTAAAGTGAGGTGAATACTATTTGCATACTTTTTATTTTCAGTAACCAAGGATTGCACTTACTTAACTATAGTAATCTTGAAAATGTTGAGTAGAAGAAAAAAAAATCATGTACTATACTGGCCTAAAATTTAAAATATCATAAAAGTAAATATTATGAAACAATTTGTTCCTAATGTTGTGTGATATTAAAGGAATGAAATGGGAATGAACTGACTCACTCTTCCCTTAAAATTTTAGCTTTTGACACCAGTGTTACTGATACTATATTTGAAACATTTGTTTTCACAGCAGGTTATACATACTAATTGTATTCTGTTACAGAACCTAAATGAACCTTGTATCTAAAATGCACTGAAAACAACTAAGTCACTTTAAAAGCGTAAAATAAAATAACTTTAACAGAAAAACTGTAAAAAGCTGTTAAAGTAGAAACTTAACAAGTTCTGTCACATGCCCCTAATTCTTTTAGCTGGCCTTTGCTTTGGCCCTGTGTGGTCTACCTGCCTGTGAGGTGGCACTATTCATGAGCCTTCCTCACAGTGCTGGGGACTCTCTAACTAACACTGCTGAGGCATTTAATGGACCTCATAAGTCAACCTTCTTTCTCTATCATAGTCTCAGAAATTATTATGAAAATTTTCAGATACACCCCAAAGAACTCCAGTGAACCCGTCACCCAGCTTCAACAGTTATAGTTCTGCTGCTCCTGAGAAGTGTTCTGCTTGCTTTGAGTTACCATGCTCCACAGTGGTAGATGTTAGGCAGGTTTTTCTTTTTCTGCTTTTATATTCATTTTAAAAACCGTCAAAATTAGAGGGTGAAAGGAAGCAATATAAACAAAAAACATGGAGATATTTGAGGAAATATGTAATATGTTTCTATCTCTAGGTGGTACCTTAGGGCTAGCAATCAGACAGTATTTATTATTGATGTGTCATAAATCATAATCATCACGTGATACACGTACGAAATAATTGGTCTTTTGTTGTAAAGATATAAACTCAAGAAAATAAAACTAAATGCTTAGGTCTAAGTATTTTTTGGCAAATTTTGAAAATTTCTGAAAGTTTTAGAGAAAGTATCAGTTTTAGCATAAGTATAAAAAACAAAGCACAAAAGTTGGTTTCCTATTAAGACTGAAGAGATACAGAGATAAATAACTGGTCTGTTCTTAAAGCCTACTGCTAGTTGCTGAGACTATATATGAATGGTAAATATATGTATTGTGTATATACACACAAGGAGTATGGTACTCCTTTCTTTCCTCTCCAGGCTTACCTGCTAGATCCAGAGTTGGCACGCTACAGCGCATGGGCCAGATCTGCCCTGCCACCTGTTTTTGTATGGGTAGCAAGCTAGGAATTTTATTATTTTTTAAAACATTTTCAACTGGTTGAAAAATCAAAAGAAGAATAATATTTTGTGACCCATGAAACTTATAGGAATTAATAAAATATGTTTTATTGGAAAATAGTCATGCTCCTTTATTTACATATTGGCTAGGTCTGCTTTTGCACTACTATGTCAGAGTTAAATAGTTGCTTTAGAGATGTTATGACCTGGAAAGCTTAAATTTTTTACTATCTGCCTTTTTATAGAAAGTTTGCAGATTCCTGCACTAAATTAGTCCCTTTAAGAGCAGGGCCTGTGCTTTTAATCCTCAGCATCTAAGCATAGTGCCTAGCCCACAGAACACTCTCAGTAAATGTTTGAGGAAATACAGTTGACTCTTGAACAACGTGGGTTTGAGCTGCATGAATCCACTTATATGTGGATTTTTTTCAATGCTAAATATTGCAGTACTACACTAACCTGGGCTGGTTGAATTTGCAGATTCAGAACCACAGGAATGGAGGGCCAGATGTTAAGTTATACTCAAATTTTCCACTGTGTGGAGTGTTGGCATCCCTAATATCCAAGATGTTCAAGGATCAACTGTAATTGATTCTTTTTTGTTTCTCTGTTTGTTTGAAATTCAAGAATTGTTTATTATTTATCAAAATAAGGGAAGTGACATTTTTACA